CAGAATTTTTATATAACTGAAAATTCACTTCACAGAATTTTTATTTGCTCGAATTTTCATTTAACATAATAGGATTTTAATGAATTTTTATTGGATAGAATTTAATTGCATAGAATTTTCATTGTATTCTTTCAGATGAATTGTCATTTGTCCGATATTGCAAATGACCGAACAAATAATCGATTTTGCGTCACGATGTTTAAAATCATCCAATCACAATTTTATGAATAATTTTTGATTGGATGATTTTAAAAATTGCGCCCAAATCAATTGTTTTTTCGGACAAATAAAAATTCTATCAATTAGAAATTCTGTTAAATGATTTTTCAGTTAAGTAAAAATTCTGTAGTATGAAAAATCAGTTATATGGAAATTCAATCAAATAATAATTCGAAGAAATGAAAATTCATCTGAAAGAATAAAATGAAAATTCTATGCAATGAAATTCTACCCAATAAAAATTCTTTAAAAACCCTATTATGTTAAATAAAAATTCGAGCAAATGAAATTTTTGCCAAATAAAAATTGGAACAAATAAAAATTCTGTGAAGCGAATTTATCGGTTATATAAATATTCTGTAATATAGAAAATCGTTTTGATGAAAATTCTTGCAAAATACTAATTCGAACAAATAAAAATTTGGCTCAAAAATAATTATGACAAATGAAATTTCATAAAATGAAAATTATAACTAATGATTTTAAAAATTTTCCACGTTTGAAGGTAAATTGTACAATGGGTCTCTACTAGACCCGACGTATTCAAACCTGTATTGTACAGCCGGTATTGAATATTTTTGCACAAAAATTTAATGTGATGTAGCTTTTGATGTGTTTTTTAAAATATAACTAGTTTTACATGGATTAATTTATTTTAAATTAGTTAAAAAAATTGTTCAAAAATAAAAACGAAAAATTGTGTGTTTTTTACTTAAAAATTCATGAGTTATTTAAATTTTAATATAAGGACTTAAAAATTTAAAGTTATAATGTATTATTCTTTAAGGAAAAAATTACCACAACAGCAGAACTTGCAAAAAAGGTATTTATTTTGCAGAATAGAATAAAATGTGATTTTTTAGGTTAAAATTAAAAATTTATTATCATTAATGTTTAAAGCTAATTCAGTCTTTTGTATCAAATTAATTGTATCAAAAAACTTAGAAAATTTTCTAAGAATATGTCAAACTAATATATTAAAATATAAAAAAATATTCAAAAGCTACATATTCAATTAATTTGTGTTCGAAAAAATACTCGGGTCTATTGGACCCATGGTGCCAGTTATGGATTAAAATTTTGACATTCCATATAATTATAAGCACCAGATTTGAATTGGTGTAAAATTGAAGGTAAGTGGTACAATTAAAGGGTCTTTCAACTCGGTTCGAGACAACTTCCATCAATTGCTATATATATATATATATATATATATATAGTACCTCTCGAGAGCACATCCAACTCAATTTTGATCTCATCAATACTGTATATAGATATATGTGTTCAATTATAAGTGAAAATTAAAATTTTATTTTTTTATTTTAACATTTCAAAAAGGCAATTTAACTATATAAAAAAAATTGCATTAACTTTCTCGATTATTATTAAATTATTATACGTTTTTGTCAAAATTCTCTTTATATCATTTCTAGCAAATTTGTTATCCAAAATGAAGATAATTTAGTGCCATTTCTATATGAACGTATGCTCTCTATCAATTTATTGAGAAACTCTATGAAAACCGCGCTTTCAATAAATTCAATAATAATAATTCTGGACGACCTCATGGATAACGAATGCCATGTGTGATTAACATTCTTCACGTTATCAATAATATAAGTGACAGTCAATGTGAAAAAGTTAATCTGATTTCAATTTTTTTTTTTTTAATTCAAAAATGTCACTTTTCGTTTTTATATTAAATAAAAGGTTTTTTATTTTATTTTTTAAAAAGAATTATGTAAACTGAAATTAAGAATATATTCTTGGCGCATATTTAAAAATATTTTATATTTAAATTCAGTGAATATTATTCTTAAAATAAAAAAATTATACTACACTGTATAAAAAATTTATTTGATTCAAATACTTGATTACTTGACTATTATCAAAATAAATATTTATTTCTATCAAATAATTATTTTTTGAATCAGTTATATGGTATTTGTTTCAAATACATAAATTATTAGTTCAAATACAATTTATTTAATTCAAATAAAAATTATTTGGTTCAAGTAAATATTTATTTGATAATAGTCAAGTAATCGAGTATTTATATCAAATAAAAAAATTTTTTTTTCTCATTTGTAAATGTAAGTAAAAAATATTCTTAAATAGGCGACAAGAATATAAAATTCTTAATTTCAGTTTACAGGTTTTTTTTTGTATTTCACAATTTTGTCCAATTTTTGAAAGAAAAAAAAAATATTTATTAAATCAATTACAATAATATATGTATAGTATTAGGTATATATCGAATTCTATCATTTGGAAAAAAATGCTTTGTAAAATTTAATCAAATCAACATTGCGTACATATCAAATTTCACTGATTGAAAGTTTGAAAGAAATAAAGAAGACATTTTAATTTAAAAAAAAAAAATAAAAAAAAAATTGAAATATTTCTCGTAAAAATACCAGAAACAAAAATTAACAATTCTTTATATAATTCTATATCATTTCAATTACTTTCTTTAGGATTTTTTATTATTTACAAAAAAAAAAACTTATATATTTAAAAATAATTTGTTATGCAAACTCAAAATCGACTTTTATTAAAAAAAGAAAAAAGTATTCTTTAACATAATAAAAAAATCTTTTTTGCACCTCTGTGTTTATGTATATAATTGCTAATTAGGTTTTTAAAAAACTTTAGTCTTCAGCGCTTGACTCGTTTCATAAAAAAAAGGAACCGTCAAAACTTGTTATAATCCTCGAAATCGAGGAGGAAAGAAGAAGCTCACTTCTGAAAAATGCTAGCGATGCATTTTTACAAAATTAGATGAATAAAAATCCTCTTCTTTTATATAATAATATTATAATGTATTCACTATTTTTTATGTCGCGTTATGATGAATTCATACTTTTCCAAGTAACTTTTTTTTCCATTAAATTCTTTTACTCCTTTATAAAAAAAAAAAAAATTCACAAAAATCTTTTGAGAGAAAAACGAAAAAAAAATGTTACACATTTTTTTTCTCAATATATAGTAGAATTGGAAAATAATTAATTTTTTATTTATTTAATTTATTAAATTTAATAACAATTAATAATAATAATAATTATTATTAATTTTTAAAATTTAATTATTAATTAATAATTAATAATAATAAATAATTTAATAATAATTATAGTATTTATTATAAATTATGTTATTATTAGATTTATTTAAAGGAAAAGAAAAAATTATTAGCCTTTGAAAATTAATAAAAAAAAAAAAATAAATAAATTTCAAAAGTGGACAAATTAAAAATGCGGCGATTAAAGCAAATTTCAAAAGTGAACTTCTGTCAACGGCAACGTTTCATATTCGTCGCAAGCGCGTCATTAAAATGTTAACGTACATGATTTACACATATATATATATAATAATTTATGATTATTATTGTGCGCATTAGTCACGCATCTACATATATAATATTGTTACTTTCTAATGAACGTATGAGAATGCACATGTGTAAAAAGTATATGTTTCCAATTGTTTTTAGGCTTATAAAGTCAAAATTAATTTTCCATTCATAGTAAATAATAAATTTCATTAAATTAATAAATAATTTTCAAATCTACTTAATTTTTTTTTTTAATAAAGAAAATGAAAAAATTCATTTAAAAAAATTTATTGACATACGAAAATACTGTAATTAATCTCTAAATCTGAATTAGTTAAAAATAACTAAATTTTAGTTATTTTAACTATTTTCACATAACCTAAAAGTGAATTTAACTAACAGATATTTTTAACTAAAACATTAGTAGAAATATTACTATATTAAACTGTAACTCACTTTTTGCAATCTTTGTTATTTTTAACTAATTCAAATTAAGAGCAACGCGCACTGAAGAATGGAACATGAGCACAAAATTATAGGTTATGTTTAGAGAGTATGGAAATAAAATTATTAATCAAGGTATAAAACTATTATAAACATAACCTAAAATTGTTATTTCCATGTATCTTTATCTCCCGTGCAAAAATGAAATACCGTAACTTGTTTTTTTTTTTTTACTTATAGGTTATGTTGGCCATTAAATTTTTTCTTTTCAAAAAATACAATAATTAAAATTACGGAAAATTTTATTTGAATTTGATAGAAATAATTAATTCTACCTTTCATGCATCAAATTTTCCCTAATTTTAATTCTTATATTTTTTTAAAAGAAGAAAAATAATCGCCAACATAATCTAATTTGAAAAAAAAAACAAGTTACGGTATTTCAGCTTTGCAGGGAAAAATTTAATCTTCCAAAAGGTTAAAGGCAATCGATACATTCTGCGTCTGCGCAGAAACTGTAAATAGTTGTACACAAACATTCTGCGCAGACGCAGAATATATCTACTGCGTCTGCGCAAAATTTTAATATACAGCTGTTTACAGTTTCTGCGCAGACGCAGAATATATCTATTGCCTTTAACCTTAATTCGTAAGATTAAATTTTTCAACACAGTGAAAACGGGCTCAATTTTTAAAATGACATTTTTACTGAAATTTTGAAAACATATTTTATAGCACATATAGTAATATAAATGAATATATAATAATAATAATAACTTTTTATAGGCCTGAAAACATTTGAACGAGCTGTAAGAAGAAGTATTAAGTAAATATATAGTTAAATGTCATATTAATAATAAAGTAAATAGGTAATATTAATTAATATACGTATATAGAACTATATAATATTTATATATAATATTAAATTAAAGCTATAAAGGTTGATAATATTATGTATATATATATATGTATATTTATATATTTATAAGTATAAGAAAGTCATGCACACCTCAATCTTTCTGCCCTCAACCACGGTGCCGTGTAGCCTCTCACGTGCCCGGTCCGCGTCAGCACTATTTGCGAATGTTACAAAACCGAATCCCTGCATGCAAGGACAGACAAAACAACATGCATTAAACTCAACTTACAGACTGACGCACTCAACATACCACCCCTTTTTTTTTTTTTTTTTTTTTTGGTTCTCTCGACATTTTAATTGAATTCTCACATTTCAAGAAAAAAAAGCGCCAAAATAATATTGCGCCACATATTTTATCATCGGACATTTAAAAAAAAAAAAATTTTTTTCTTCTATATAACCGTTACAATATATTTGTACAACCAGAGAAAAAGTATATATTAATTTTTGAGCTAAATAAATGTTTATTAAATATGATTTAGAAAATAAATTTTCTTTGCGTTAAATAAAATTTTATTTGTGATTTTATCTATGATAAACAAAATTTTTATTTATACCAAACAAAATTTTATTCATAAAATAAAAAAATTTTATTTATGACAAACAAAATTTTATTTATAACAAACAAAAATTTTAGTTTAAATCAAATAAATCGTTATATTTTTATTTAATTTAATGAAGTTATGAGCCCGCATTTTATTGTGTGGTTAAATTTAGGCTTCGGAGAGGTTAAAGGCATTTCTGCGCCTGCGCAGAATGTTTGTAGCTTCTACGCAGACGCAGAACTGCTTTTAACTTCTTCGAAGCTTAAATTTTGTCCAGAAAAATGAAAACGGGTTCAAATAAAAAAAAAAAATCTCTGTGGATTTACTTTATTATTTGAGAATTTTTATTTTACTTTGTACAAAAAATATCAAAAATTAACGATATTATTTGAAAAATAAAAATGTAAAAAATTAATTATTTAATATTTAAAACAAAAATAGTACATTTATTACATTTATGCTCTCTAAATTTGTATTGGTTCAAAGTAACTATTTATTAGCATAAAATAGCTTATAACTGTCAATTATAGTATAAAAATTATTTTGGCTGAATTTTTTGGTTTTTGTTGAAAATAATTTTTTTTAAATTTATACAACTGCGGATTTTTCAAAATTTAGTAAAATTAATTTAGATTGGTGATAAATCCAATTTTTAATTTGAGGTTATGTAAAGTGATTGAACCACCTTATAATAGAAATGTACTGAAATTTTAATTATTTTACCATAACCTAAAAGTGAATTTATCTGACAAAAATTTGTTATAACTTTTTTTTCTGAATTTCATTTATTTTAAATTAAATTTCATTTGAGAAAAAAAAACCAGTAGTAACATAATATTGAACTAAATGGAGAATTTTCAAAATTTTTATTACATTTATTTTTAATTAATTCTTGAATCTACAAAGTAAAAGCGCACAGTTCTTTGTGAATCTATTTCCTTTTTGTATATATCTATATCTTTTATCTCATATATACCTATATATATTGAAAGGGAGATAAATTAAATTCCATCTTCACATTGAGAGTCAAATATTTATAAAAGGTTAGTTATTAAGTATTTAATACAATGAAAAATATTATTAATAAAAAATAATTTCATATTTAATTAAAATCTTTTTTTCATAAAAAATTTTCAAATTCTCATGAAATAATTTTTCAAATAGAATATCAAAAAATATTATTTATATAATTAGAAAAAATTTCAATCTGAATATTAATAAAAATAGAATTTTTTTTCAATATATTTAAAATAAATATTATTTAGAATTTTATTATTAATTAAAAATTTTATCATTTTTATTTCTAAAGTAGAATTTATTCAAAAAACCAAATATAATTTATTAATTAATTAAAAAAAAAATCAAAAATAATAATAATTATAATAGAAAATAAAGACGAAAAGAATAGAATTAATTGAAAATATTGATGTGCAATTAAAATGTCGAGAAAAAAAAGGTGTTGCGAGTGACTCATACTGCTTACGAAGGCGCACCAAACAACGTGCAACAATTAAGTAAATATAAAATCATGGTAAGAAATCATGGTCATTGTCACAATTATCATCTCATTATCAGATCATATCATATCATATATATAATAAATATATAAAAATTTCAAGTCATTATATTAATGATAGTTGATATATCATTGATATATATATATAAAATACTATAATTTGCTGTTTTTTCAAAAAATTTGCATAAAATATAAAAAATTATAAATATTAAACAAAAGTAAATCAACTATTGTATAGTATATGAATATATATATGTATATAGGATCTCAATGACAAGGATAAAAGAAAAATTTTCTATAGTCTTCAAAAAAAATTTTTTTACATATTGTTGTATATATAATTTATGTGTTTCGTTTCGTTTCATGTACGTGACGGTTTGTGTGCGTGTGATATATGTATATATATATTTCGTATATCGATCAAAAAATATGTATGTTGTGTACAGGATTCTTCAAATAAGGAGATGGAAAAATATAAGAAAAAGGAATTTTCTTATTCTGGGATGCAAAAGAGGAAAAAAAAAATGTACTCCTTTATGGCAAAGATATACTATAAATGTATAAAAAAAAAGTACTACTCATTTCCGTTTCTTCTTATTATTTTCCTGTGTTCAATAATAAAAAAAAGGAAAAAAAAACAACCGATGTATTTTTCTTGCATAAGATAAAATGAATTATTGTTTTCATATATAAATAAGAAGAAGAAGAATAATTTTCAAATGCGGATACGATAATTTCGATTTTACTTTTAAAAAACTTTTCTGTTAATTGGCATATTATTTTATCCTTCAGAAAGGATGTAGAATATAAATTTTAGTTTAAATTAAGAATGTAAAAATATTGAAAACTAAAATTATAAAATAAAATAATAATATCCAAAAATTACTAAAGAAATTTTTCGATTGAAAATTATTACATTATTTTAAAAATAATAATAATATTAATAAGGGAAGCATGAATAAGTTTTAAAAATCAATTGTTAGAATTTTCATTCAATAGAATTTCATTAGACAAAATTTTCATTGAGCCGAATTTTTATACAAATTATTATTTTGCAGAATTTTCATTAAACTGATTTTCTATAATCACAGAATTTTTATATAACCGAAAATTCACTTTACAGATTACATTACAATAAATTGCATCCTTTAAAGGCAAAAAAATACAAAATTTTGAAAAATAAATGTACATTTATTACGGAATGACCCCAAAAAAATTCAAAAAAACAGTTATAACTTTCAAACAAATTATCGGATCGAGGTAAAACTTGGTAATTATGTTCTTTGTAATAAATAACATCATTTAAAGGCAAAAAATAAAAAATTTCGAAAAAAGGGGCATAATTGTTATGGAATGTCCCCAAAAAAATAAAAAAAAATGGTTGTAACTTTTAAAGAAATTAATGAATCCTTATAAAATTTGTTAATTATGTTTATTGCGACAAATGATATTCTTTTATTGCAGAAAGATATAAATTTAGAAAAAATATATATTTATTATGGAATGACCCAAAAAAAAAAAAATTCAAAAAACAGTTATAATTTCAAAAAAAAAATTCCCGAATCGTTGTGAAACTTGATAATTATTTGACGAAAAATTCTGCAAATTAATTATCAAGTTTCACAACGATTCGGAAATTTTTTTGAAAATTCTAACTGTTTTTTGAATTTTTTTTGAATAAAAGATGAAATTTTTTATATTTTTAATAAATAAATGTTTTTTTTCTAAATTTGTGTTTTTCTGCAATAAAATAATGTCATTTGTCGCAAAGGACATAATTACCAACTTTCATAAGGATCCGATAGTTTTTTTTAGAAGTTAGAACCGATTTTTGGATTTTTTTGGGGGACATTCCATAACAATTATGCGCAATTTTCCTAAATTTTCTATTTTTTTGCCTTTAAATGATATTATTTATTGCAAAGAAGATTATTACCAAGTTTCACAAAGATTCGGTAAGTTTTTTGAAAGTTATAAATGTTTTTTGGATTTTTTTGGGGTCATTCCGTAGTAAATGTACATTTATTTTCAACTGAATTTGTATTTTTTCGTTAAAGGATATAATTCATTGTAGTGTTATCTGTAATGTGAACTTTCCGTTCTATTAAAATTCTGTGAATATAGAAAATCGGTTTAATGAAAATTCTGCAAAATAATAATTCGTATAAAAATTCGGTTAAAAAAAATTCTATTTAGTGGAATTCTTTAAAATGAAAATTCTAACAATTGATTTTGAAAACTTATTATTGCGCCCCACTAATAATAATAAAAATAATAAAAATTTAAAAATTATAATAAAAAAATCATAATTAAAGAAAAAAAAAACGAATTGTAATAGAAGAAAATAAATAAATGAAAAAAATTGTTAATAATTTGAAATTTGCGAAAGAATGAAGAGGAAAAATTTTCATTTCCTTTTCACTATTGAAGAAGGTTATTTCTTGACACGAAAAATGATAACGTGAAGCAACGATGAGATGGTGTGTGAAGGAAGATGTATATATATAATTTAGTTTGGAATCGAACTTTTGTTATTTTAGAAATGGTTACACAAAGGTTGTTGGCATTTCAGAAATTAAATTACTACTTGAAATCAAATAGAATTCTGTTTCCTCTCTCTTTTTTTCCCCTTTCTCTCTCTCTTTTGACAAAGTGATGATGCTTTTCAACCACTACCATATTGCTCTCAATAATATTATAAGAAAAAGAAAACCAAGTATAACGAAAACAAAATACGACCTGCAAAAGAAAAAAGAACGAAAAAAAAAACTACGAGAAAAATATTTCTTCCTTTAGATTTTCCTATCTACAATCTTCACCTTTTATAAAGTGCCATCACAAAGTTCTAAGAGAAATGTGAGGGAAAAACTTTTTCCAACTTTCCTGAATTCTCTCTTTTTATTTTTCCCTTCTTTTTTTTATATTATCTCTATCTACCAATCGAATTCAAAATATTCTCCAACAAATGCACATATATACTGTATTTATATAATTTTCAATAGTTGAAAATTTGCCAACACAAATAGTGTGTGACATTATCAAAAAATGTTGATAAAAAATGTGTCACAAAATAACATTCATATATACGTTTCAAATTTAAATTATAATCGATTAAAATTAAT